GGAAATGCACGGGACTATGGTGGTGGCACAGGGGTGATTTGGTGATGGGAAGCCCGTGGGGATTACAATTGAGATGAAAAAAAAAATGTGAAAAATGATGTAAAAATAAACTTTTTAATAAAAAAAATAAATAAATAAAGACCTTCTAAAAATAAAACATGTAAATATAGAGCATACTTATCAAAAACTATATACATATGTATGTGTGTGTGTGTGTGTATAAGCTCTTATATTTGTAATTTTTCAGGGTAAACAACATATTTGCAAATGGTCCAGCATATAAAAAGCCTGGATTTTTCAATTAGTGGGGAAATAAAATAATTAGGAAAGCCCTATTGTTTTTCTTTTGTGTGTGTGTGTGGCTGAATAGGGGAATTCCAGCACTCAAGAATTCAGTAAATTTGGAGTGTTGTATATTGTTTGCTCAAACTCTGGGGGTTTAGTGGGGGGCGGGGGTAGCCTTTCAAACAGAAAAGGACCTTGACAATTAGAAATCTATTAAGATATACTTGTTATAAATTTTTTGTTGCTGTTGTAAATCAGTAGATTTAAATATCACATTTACTCTTGAATACAAAATAACATCTGCAGGAGAAAAAAGAAAGGAAGAAAAGAAAAAGAAAGGGAAGAATGTAAGGATCCATAGAAAACACTGAACAGTACAAAGAAAAAATAGTTGCAGGGAATCATAAACTTGAAAAGCATTATCAGGATGATGTCCTCAGGGAGGAGTCTGCATGAGCTTTCACAGTCAGCCTGATATTAACTCTTGGTTTATCTTTGAAATTAGGCAGAGTGTCAGTTATAGTAGGAGAATAATATATATTTCATAGATTAGCCTAAGAATTAAAGCATGTAAGTATGCAATATATTTTGTGTAAAGGGCTTATCACAATGCCTCACTCATAACAAACAATAAATTTTTACCTTGGTTATGCCCAAACTTGCTATCACATTATCATTGTTAATTGCACAACTGCCAATGACTCCATTAGGCTCCAAAATATATGAAATTGGGGCCCTCCCTTGTGACACAGCGGGTTAAAGCACAGCACTAAGAAGCAAAAGCCACTTCAGCATGAGTTCGATTCCCACCGGCCCCAGGGAAATGATCCACCGGGCACAGCACACCTCTCCTGACCCGCCCACTGCTCCCCTCAGCAGTTTACTTTGTCTATCTACCTGTTCTGCTCCCCACTCTGTCTCTGGTGAATCCTCTCACCCTCCACACTTCTGGATTGTATCCCAGTTCTATAAGCATAAATAAATCTTTAAAAAATAATAGATGGGATAAATCTCTGTTAGGAGTGGGTTGAGACTATAAGCATAGGCTCCGGCCATGTCTGGAATTTGGGAAGTGCTGTCCTGGATACAGAACCTTTCAGCATTATTGGTATGGATGAGGCTAATGATCCCTACTCTTAGACATTTGATTAATACAGAGCAGCCTCAACCATTTGCTAAGACAGGCTGTATATTAGAGTGTGCTCTTTTTAAAGATTACCCAGAGACATACTCTCTCATTGATAGACTTCTCCGTAATATATCTGGATCTTTGGAAAGTTCTCTTTATGGAGCTAATGTTATCCCCCTGCCTACTACTTCTGCCACTTCCAGTACATAATTCTGAACTCTGTCCCATTGCTTCAAATCAACACACAACCTTGTTTGATTTTCACCTTTATACTTATCACTATCTCATATGTTCTTGGTCTTTGGGGATGAGGGGTGTTTTGTTTATCTTCCCTTCATTTATTCCTATTTGGTGTTGTTTATGAGTTTTCTTGTTTATTGTCCACTGTACTTCATATACACTCTCCCCACTACATGTAATTTCCTTGATTGAAAGGGTCATTTTTTTCCTTTCTCAGAAGCTAGCACATTTTCCAACATAGGAGCTGAAGATTCTATCTAGAGACATTAGGAATTACCTTGATTTGTTTAAGTTTACAGGAATACATCCCCAAATAAACAAAGGCAAATGGCCATGAGCCCTTAATATACCTAACTTTAGAATTTCATCTGTTTTCTGATGGCAGGGATGCATTTGTTGTTCCTTGTCCCTTCTCTTTCTTCTCTTACAAACCATCAGTCTGGCTTTTAAGTTTTATTTTTCCCTCGGGCCACCACTCCCTTTGCAAAAGTAATTATGAACATCTTGTCTCTTTGATAGTTTGCTTTACCCTGCAACACGCCCAGAGCACTGATTATCTGTACATAAAGCTACCTGAAAAACTGCCATATCTTCAGTTACTGTTTTTCAGGTTATCTGGAATGCTTAATGCAATGCAGTCTTTTTTTAACCATATTTTTTTTTCTATAAGCAAGTTGGCCCAGCTACACTGAAGCTCATTTAGGATTGTGTGTCCATTCAGGATACATTCTCTTCCAGAAGGGGAGAGGGAATGAGTTGTGGTAGGCCAGATTCCTGTCTGAAAGAGTGACCTTGAAAGGTCCTATGAAAATGGCTTCATCAATGTGTCCTATGAAAAGGTGCTTCTTCTCAGTTGTGCTTGTGCCCAATGTAAGCAATCAGGTTATGGAACATGGTAAAGTTCAAGAGTTGTTTTATTCTACTGCTGTGCTACAGCTATTGCTGTAAACTGCTTTAAAATTAGGTCAAGAAATGTTAGAAGGTGGGACTGTAAGTGATGTGGCCTATTCTGAGGGGTGAAACTTCCATAGAACTGGAAAACCTGCCTAATTTAAGGCTAATGTATGATATGTGCTTTCACAACTGTCCAGAAACCTTCATTTACTTTACAAAACTCAATTAATTCTTGATGTCCCTCCTTAAGGTAAAGCAAAACTGCAGCTATAGTTAATGCTTTAGTAGCAGTTGTTACGTGACAAGAAATGGAGCCAAGAAAAGAACTGCAGAGATGAATTTGAAACCATCATTCAAAACTTGGTTTTTTGAAGTAGCTACAGTGTTGCTTCTCTCCACAAGGGACCCCAGATGTCAGTGCCTTTTCACTCACATGCTCTCCCAAAGTGGCAGGTCTTGCCCACAGATAGAAATCATATTCAGAAGATGACCTGGACCATCTTTCAAACAGGCAATAGTGAAAAGGTGTCTTAATAGGGGAAATGATAGCTAGGAGGAGGATGGTACACTTTTGTGATGGTCTGTACCTGTATCTCTGCCTTAGCACACCCCCTATACCCACTCAGGATGCTGGGGAACCCACCACCTACTGAGCATGTTTCCTATATAAGTGACCTCCAGCCCTCACCATCCACTTCTCTCTTTCACCTTCCCAGTCTTCTCTAAGGAGAAAACTAGTTGACTACCAATCCTGTTAATGATTTCATGTTCACTCTAAGAACTTCATCTGTAAGAACTTGTGACACTAACAGGGGAAAAGAATTGAAACAAGCTGGGAAAGTTTTCTGAAGGATAAACATACTCAGGATCTAAAAATCATTTTCAGGGGATGGATGCCACACCATGAATTCCCCTTTTTCTTTGCCTCCAGTTCCCTTTTATGAAAGATCAGTAACCACGGTAGGAATAAATGATACAATATGTGATGTGTGACAATTAGGTTTCTTGCTAGTAGTTCCTTGGGGACGCAGGGGAGAGAGAGAGAGACAGAGACAGAGACAGAGACAGAGAGAGTGTAAGAAACTCCGGACAAGCGAAAGGGGTCACAGGCTCCCAGAGACCCCCGCCTCTGTTCTTTGGCCACCCGGCACCAGCTCGCGGCGTCCCCGGGCGGCTAGCGCAGGCAAGCGCCACGCGGGGCGGTGGCGCTGCACGGAGGGGTGTGACTGCTAGCCCCTCGCGCGCGCCCGTCCCCACCCACGCACCCCGCGCCCGCCAGCGCAGCGTGACTGGCCTCCGCTGCAGCCCCGACTCCGTGAGGTGCAGAGCGCGGCGCGCAGAGCTGGAGAGGCAGGCGGGCAGCTGCCAGGCGTCGGCCGCGCAGTCCTCCCTCCTCCGCTCCCTCCGCCCCTTCCCTGCGGCCGCACTGCTTGGGAACCCGGGAAGCCTCTGCTCCGAGCCCGCAGTTCCAGCGCGGCTGGCAGAGCCAAAGCGGGGGCGGCGGGAGCGCGGAGGGGGCTGTGACCTCCACCGGCAGAGCTGAGCGTAGAGTGTCTGCGGTTGAGGGCGAGGCTGCACCCTCGCTCGGCGCGGATCCCGCCAGCCGGGGCTTAGCTCTCTGCAGCCCGGGATCCTCCCCGCCTGCGCCCCGGGGCACGCGCGGCACAGCCATGAACACCAACGATGCCAAGGAATACCTGGCCCGGAGGGAAATCCCGCAGCTTTTCGAGGTAAGGGGCAGCTCTGGCCGAAGGGCAGGAGGGTCGGGGGAGGTCAATCCAGGGTTCATAGTAAGGAAGCCGTGCCCCGTCCCGCCTTGCACTGGGGACACGGAAGTGAAGGGGCTTGCAGACGATCCCTCGCCACTCGGTCGGGATGGCTTTTTTCCCGGGGGTTGCTAGAGTCCCTGCTCTAGAGTTGGGCTCGGAGGCCCGCATCTCAAAAATCAAGTTTCAGTCATCCAGCTGGGCTCTGAAAGCAGACTGCCCGCGGGCACCCCTCAAATGTGGGTACTCAAGGTGGGTTGCAATCTGCGGCTCGCCCTACGGGTGAGAGCCAGGCCAGGTGGCGCTAGCAAGTATTCGAACCTGAGAAGTAGAAAGCTCTAGTCCCCCAGCGCTCGGAGGGTCGGCACACCCCCCTTCCCCGGAAAAAGGGAAGAGTGGACCAAAGCAGTCCTCCCCGGGGACAGTTAGCAGCTGAGGATGAAGATGCAAAAAGCGAAATCAAATCCTTTCAGGTGCAGTGTTGCTTCACAGTGCCTGGCACCCAGAGCTGCTCTGCGCTTAGGTGAATGAACTCCTGAGCACGTTTTCCCATCGCTTTGGAAGCTCCCAGACGGTAGCTCCCTAGTGCCCCTTGCCACCCCACCGAGAGAAGGCGGGCGGGAGCGCGAGCCGCGAGGCGGGCGTGACTCCTGTTGCTGGGTCTTGAGACCTCGTCGCCGCACTATCTGCCTTAGGGGCCCGGCGCGGGGTGAGGGGTGGGGGGTGGGGACAGACATGGGGGGGGTCACTTTGAGAATGTGGGAGTAGCAGTTTGAGGAATGAAGGATCCTTATTTAGTTCGAAACCACAGCCTACTTGGAGGATCGCTTTGCTTCCTTTCCTTCACTCCATATTTGAATTGTAAAACATTCCTGAATCTTAGTGGTTTTGCTTGGGTTAAACAAAATAAATAAATAAAATAAAAATAAAAAAGTAGAATGAAAGCGAGCCAAGCTTCATAGAGAGCGATCTGAAAGGAGAATTACATTCACTGAAAAACTGGCTCCCCATTTCTGAAAGACAGAGTAAACGAAATAAATGATAAACTTATAAGAGTAAACTAAAGGTCATGTGCTGTTCTTTTTCCTGTTTGGGGTTTTGTTCTGTTAAAAGAAATTTTAACACCACAGGGAAAATTATTTTCTCCCTGTATCCCAAATTATCTTTAAAATAGGTCGCCATAATTACATATCTTCATTTTTTTTTTCCTCACTTCTGTAAGTCACCACTTTTAGTTCCATCAGAAGCCAAGATTTCCAGGTAAACCACCCACTGAGCCTGGTATGTGAAGCCCAAATCTAGAAAGTGTGTTACTCACTCATGTGTGAAAGTAATCAGTTGGCATGCATAGGGGCAGGTCTTGGGAATGTGTAGGATTCTAGTTGCTTTTTTTCTTTTTGAAAAAAATTTCAGAAAGTGAATATGGAGATGAAGAGCTGAAGGATTTTTGTCATAAACACTACCACTGAAAATAATTTCATTTGTACACATCTAAAAGAATAATTAGAAACATCTGCAGGGTGTTCACCTGATTACAAAGTGCTACTGAATAGTACATCCTTTTTATTTATAAATGTGGGTGTTGTTTTTCCTCCTTCATGGAAGATAACCTCAGAGAATTTTCCTAGTTTGTTCATGAAAATCTAGCCTGTGTATGCAAATTGTGCTGGTAGGCTCTTTGGTTCAAGTTTTATGCTACTCTTTGCTTTTTGTTTTTTTCTGTCTGTGAATAGTACTTTTAAAATAGTGCACACACTGAAGAGGAAGTCAACTCCCTTAGGTGAAATGTAGTAATTCCATGTACTTAAATGCAATCCTTGACAGTAGGAAAATGAGTGGAGGCTGCTACTGTCCTCCTAAGTAAGGCTCCATCCTTCTAGAAAGAAGAATCTGTGCTATGCACAGCACAAGATAGAAGTAAAACCTGGCAATTCTCCACATGATAAGAGTAGACAGCAAAACTGTAAATGCTTTAAGCTTCCAAACTGGATTTTCTCTTTCAAAGTCACATAAGTATACAAGTTTCTGTTATCCAAAGTTTAACAATTAGGCATCAGACCCCAGTTATGGCTATTAAGCCATTATAGACCAAGTGATTGAATATTAAACCTTGATACTATATTGTCAAACAACTCAATGCATCTAACTTACTTTTTCAGATTTCTTTCTGATTTGAAACATTATATAGGCTAAATATGGTATATCTATTATTTTTAGACATGTGTTTAAAAATAAGATTACTTTCCCTAATTTTATGATGAATTCTTAAATATAAATAACTATATGGTATGTACACATACATATGTGTACACACACACACACACACATTGTTCTTTTATTACCTGTACTGCAGATCAGAGATTTGGTGATTAATTTGAATGCTGGGGAAAGTTGAACTAGATTATATAAATTTTTAGAGGATTAAACCAGAGACTGGTAATAATATCTGCTGGTTAGTGTCAGACTCTGATGCTACCTGGCTTGTAGAAGGAAGGATTTAAGTTATTCATGAAAGAATGGAAAGCATTCTAAAATCAATTATTTTCAGGAGTCAGTTTTTTTAGTGAGGCTGGAGATATATTTTTTCCAGTAAAAGAAATCTTCATTGTGTATATTCACCCATGTTAGGTAATAATGGGTTAAAAATAAAAGACCTAATCATACTCATATTGCAGTTGATTATTACAAATAATCTAGCATTTTCTTTTTATCCCATACTATATATTTGCAGGATATAAAGAAAGGAGTATATGTGTTTTGCAGTCAGAAACACTGAGCTGAATTCCTTGGCCTACAAGTATATAATTGAGTAAACTTGATCAACTCACACCTCTGAGCCATGATTTCCTAACCTATAAAATTGTAACTTGGATGGAGCTGGAAAAGATCATGCTTAGTGAGATAAGCCAGAAAGAGAAAGAAAAATACCGGATGGTTTCACTCATAGCAGGAGTATA